TCTATGTCTTCCAGGGGTTCATATCCTCATATTTATGGTTATGTGCACAATTACAAAAAGAAGCAGCTGATAATGTCACCGTTTGACTCGGGTCTGACAACAATGCTCTCGATCCCCTCCCCCCCCACCCAGGTAGGGAAGGAGAGAGAGAAAAGGAGAGAGACTTGGCTGGATTGAAAACTAAACTACACAGCTTTAATTAAACACTTATGAATGATGCAAGAAAATATATACAAATATGTTCAGATATAGGCAAAAGCCTCTTGCCTCCCCCACCCCTCTGCAAGTCCCACAGCACTTCCCTCAGATCACACAGTCCCAAGGAATCCTGGAGCTGCTGCAGGAGAAGAGCGGAGAGTGATGAGGGTCAGGAGAGCTGGAGCCTAAGGGTCGAGGGTGATGGATGGACGGAGTCCTCCTCGGATGCCGGCCATAGACGGAAGGGAAGAAAAAGAAGGAAGGAAGTTGTCTTCTGTGCTCTGTGACCTTCCTCTGAGCTTACGTAGATGTATGGAATGGAGTATCTCTGGCCAATTTTGCTGTCTGTCTAACTCAGCCTCCTACAGGGGGGTCATAAATCTCCTCATAGTGTCTGAGCCGGCAGAGTGAAGGTGTGACCTTGAAGCCTCTGTAGTTAGAAAAACATTCCTCTGTCTTATCAGCCTAGCAGAACACACAGTTGCTAGTTAAAAGAAAGCTTACTGAAGGAAAAAAAAAAAAATCAGTAAAAGGAAAACTGACTTAATCCTGGCTCAAACCAGGACAGATAAGCATGGTGAACCTAATTTACCTCTGCTTCAGAGTATCAAGGGAGCCATGACTTTGTGAAATATCTTGCTGCTTGTGCTCAGTATCTTCCAGGATCGGGCTGAAAGCATATTATCAACAGATGCTTTCAGTATGCTGCCAATAAACAATTGTTAAGGTGGATATGATGAAATAATAATTCAGAGCAAAATGTATGATAGGGCTGTTGTCACTATTTTCACAACAGAAGTGCTAAATCCAGGAAATTTACAGTTAAACTGAAATGATATGTAAATACTTTAAGCTGTGGAAATACGTGGAAAGGGAATCCAAGCTTCCAAACTCCTTTCTGTTGCCAGCTGCTCTGACTTGCTATGTAGTTTAAGCTCAGAAAAATATGGTGCAAAATCTTTTTCACATTTTTAACCTTGTCACGAATTGGTTATATCACAGACGTTTTCTTTTTTCCTGCTCCTGCCTGTGTATTTCAGGATAGATGTAATCTAGTGAACATCTTCGTGGGTTTGCTAATATTGGTATTTGGAAAGTTATTTCTCAAAATGGCTACCAAGCGAGGGCAGTAGTGGCTTCATTTTCACTGATAAATGAGATTTGGATTTTTTTGTCTGTTCTTTCTAAAGGAAGGATTTTTATTGTGTGTGTGTATCTTGTTGGATGTTTCTGTATAGTTCATCTTCTTCTGAACTACAGAAAATAATAGGGGAAGGATGAGGAAGCATGACTATTAATACAGCAAATGGCGGGTACATTCTTTTCTGGATGTTAACTTCTTTGGAGCCAGATGCTCCAAATCCTCCTCTCTCTCCCTCTTCCATTTTTTCTTGGGAACTGCCTCCCTTTTCCTGCTTTAAAGCTTCACTTAAATCTGTTTTCCTTTTCTTGCAACTAAACAGCCTCCTACAGGGGGGTCATAAATCTCCTCATAGTGTCTGAGCCGGCAGAGTGAAGGTGTGACCTTGAAGCCTCTGTAGTTAGAAAAACATTCCTCTGTCTTATCAGCCTAGCAGAACACACAGTTGCTAGTTAAAAGAAAGCTTACTGAAGGAAAAAAAAAAAAATCAGTAAAAGGAAAACTGACTTAATCCTGGCTCAAACCAGGACAGATAAGCATGGTGAACCTAATTTACCTCTGCTTCAGAGTATCAAGGGAGCCATGACTTTGTGAAATATCTTGCTGCTTGTGCTCAGTATCTTCCAGGATCGGGCTGAAAGCATATTATCAACAGATGCTTTCAGTATGCTGCCAATAAACAATTGTTAAGGTGGATATGATGAAATAATAATTCAGAGCAAAATGTATGATAGGGCTGTTGTCACTATTTTCACAACAGAAGTGCTAAATCCAGGAAATTTACAGTTAAACTGAAATGATATGTAAATACTTTAAGCTGTGGAAATACGTGGAAAGGGAATCCAAGCTTCCAAACTCCTTTCTGTTGCCAGCTGCTCTGACTTGCTATGTAGTTTAAGCTCAGAAAAATATGGTGCAAAATCTTTTTCACATTTTTAACCTTGTCACGAATTGGTTATATCACAGACGTTTTCTTTTTTCCTGCTCCTGCCTGTGTATTTCAGGATAGATGTAATCTAGTGAACATCTTCGTGGGTTTGCTAATATTGGTATTTGGAAAGTTATTTCTCAAAATGGCTACCAAGCGAGGGCAGTAGTGGCTTCATTTTCACTGATAAATGAGATTTGGATTTTTTTGTCTGTTCTTTCTAAAGGAAGGATTTTTATTGTGTGTGTGTATCTTGTTGGATGTTTCTGTATAGTTCATCTTCTTCTGAACTACAGAAAATAATAGGGGAAGGATGAGGAAGCATGACTATTAATACAGCAAATGGCGGGTACATTCTTTTCTGGATGTTAACTTCTTTGGAGCCAGATGCTCCAAATCCTCCTCTCTCTCCCTCTTCCATTTTTTCTTGGGAACTGCCTCCCTTTTCCTGCTTTAAAGCTTCACTTAAATCTGTTTTCCTTTTCTTGCAACTAAACCTTCTTGTCTCATTTCTTTCCCTCTTGCCAGAGCTTCTTAGAATAGCATATGTCAGACTTCCTTTTTACCCTTTCCTACTCTTCTTTATCTCTTTCAAGCCATTGGGATCTTAAGCTACTGTGGTATAGAAGGATGGTCAGAGTGAAGAAGGTCTTTTGTTTTGGGTTTGTGCTTTTTTTGTTGTTGGTGGTTGGTTTTTTTGACCAGAACATGCTTGCTGTTACGAGCTGTGGTGGTTAGCAGTGGCTCATACTGGTTGTTCTGCCAACCAGATGACCTGAATTCTGCCCTTGATCTTCTGTTTTATTTATTTTTCTCCAAAGTCTGTGGCCTAAAATATATATTGAAACAGGAATTGATTACATGCAGAATCAGAAAATTATTGCAGTTGGTCTAGATGATCATCGTAGATGCCCTCCAATTGGAACTATTCTATTACATCGTATTTAACTTGATGGCATGTCCTTGTCTAGATGTAGGATTTTGCAAGTGTCACCACAAATAGTATTATCTTCTCCTTAATGTTTGATTATTTTTTAAAATTGTTTTGTGGCCTGCTCTTAAAAAGACATACTGTCTTCTTTCCATCCTGACTCTGCATCCTAACATTCTTTTAAGTCTGAAGGATGATGTACCTGCATCTGATTTTAAGTTAATTGGTAACTTTCTATATTTTCTCAAGTGGCTGTTCTGTCAGATATGTGAAGTGATCTGACTTGCTTGTGGCTACATAATTTGTGGAGCAGATCAAGCAGAGTGGCTGGAGTGTGCAACTGAGCAGGTGATGAGCTTTCAGCTGCAGTGCATCCTTAAACTGACATAGGTTGATCATGCAACTATACCTTTAGAAAGCAACTTCTGCACAATGTGTAATTTTAAACACTTTAAATTGGCATGGCTATCAAGAGAAGCAGTTCTGCACTCTTCCTGACTGTTGTACTCATTCTTGTGTTGACCCATTCCTTTCCTGGCACAGAAAGGACCATTCCTTTCCTGTTCAGTTGTCTTCTGTTTGCACAGTGCAAGCTGTAATGGAGGGGTAGCATGGGCAACTGTACTAGCAGTTGGATTCATTCAACCTTTTCTTAAAGAGATGTGCTGATGATAAGATTACTGTTTAAATTGCTTCAGTGCAATTTGTTCTGTACTCCTGTGCTCATTCAGGGGTTTGTGGTGTCCATTGTATATTGTCACCACAAGCATTTCCGTGGCCATGCAGTGAACCGATGTGATACTTAAAAATAGCTTGGCAAAAAAGACTGTTTTTAGATGTCTTGCTATGCAGTACAGATACTCTTGTGCTGATATTGTACAGGTAAAACAAAGCTGAATAGCTGAGGGAAGAGAGTATGGATAGCTTAAGCCTGTGTAGCCAATGGAGCAGGGGAAAGCTTATTGAATTACAACTTTGTAGGTGGATCAGGGAGCTGATACACCTTTGTCCATTCACACTGTTCTCCCTCTCTTGTGTTCACTCTCCTTCTCCCTTAAGACACACACACAACTATTTTTCAGTTGGGTCAGTTCTTTGATTCATTTCAACACCAACATCTGTGATGGTAGTGTACAGCTAAGGGAGTTGTGATGGAGTACTTGGTTACAGAACAGATAATGCCTCTTAGCAGGGAGGCTACCACTGTTTCCATAATAAACAGGCTGATTTAAGTGTAATATTGTCGACTGCAAAAGAGTTCCCATGGAGGCTAGATAGTTTGTAAAAGTGTCTTTTCCCTTATATTAATATTCCCTACAGTCCCTTTCCTTTTTGAGGGTAGGTAATATCTTTGAGATATGTAAGGGCTGTGTAGTCTCTGAGAATGACAGCACCTTGGAGCAGATGCTGGATGTTGGGCAAATTGGTCTGACTCACAGGTTATATTTGGTTTCCTGGATGCCTCTTTAGAAAGAGATTGGCAATTGCAGGCTGTGTGGTTGGTGTTGGAAGAAATCTGTTCCCATCCTCTGCCTTTCCTGAGGCATCACTGGAGTAAACAAGAACTGAGCTGTGCTTGTATAAGACTTCAGGAAATACTGTGTTATGCGTATGTAGTATGGTTGCTCTGAATCTGTGCATTTCACAGAATAAACTATTTTTTGTGAGGAGAGGTTGTGTTTGAAGTCTGATTATGTGTTCTCTCTCTAGCTGTTGTTGCTGAGTGTTGTGTGTAGTAGGTCATATTTAGCAACCATATTTCTTCTTCAAGGAATACTGTGAGTCTTTATCCCTCTTTACAGGTTTGCAACAGTGAGGTATGACCAGGCATCCAAGAACATTAAAAACCAGTTCATGCATCTGACCAACTACAGTGTCAACAAGAAGAGTGGAGATTATGTCAGGTACTTGGCTGAAAAATAGAATTAGAGGTTAGGTCAATTTATCTAAGTTGGTTTAAGGCTGGTACGAGTCTATAGAGGCCAGTGGTGTCAACTTGCTTCTTTCATTTATTTTTTAGCTGTGATGATCCTGAAGTAGAGGATTATGGAAACAAGTGGAGCATGAGTGCAATGCTGAGGTACTTAAAACAAGAGGGGAGAGACACTGCAGGTCAGTACAGTTCTTTTTATTTTATTCCTTTGTTGGATCTTAATCATCTCACTAGTTCCTAAGAAGTCAGAGAAACACCCCAGTGAGTCCCATTTAGCACCAGAGCAGGGTGGAGGGAAGCATTGTTTCTTACAGCTTACTCACTAGAGCTGCACACTTATTCTCTGTCCCCAGAGATGAGTCCTATCCCCAGAGACGAGTCCTACCCCTTTCCTTTTTGCAAGTAATATTCTGAGACTTTCTCAGGGTGTGTTTCTTAATATTTTACCTACATTTCCCGTTTCTTAAGGTCATTCCATTCCTTCTAAAAGCTTCCCTCCCTCTACTGCTCCCATGGCCTGTTCAGTCTGATGCGTGACCAACCTCTGGAGAACTGTGCCAGTTTGAATGACTCTTGGATGTGGTGTCATCTTTCCATGGCTCAGGTTTTTGCTGGGTGTTTTCATTTCAGTCTGTGTTTCATAAAAAAAGCTCCCTCTTCCACACCTTTGCCAGGTCTGCTGGGAGTAAATGCACCTGCAGAGCAGAATCCAGGTATATCCTTTAGGGATAAATTACCTGTGATACTGAGACATCAGTAACACTACTGATAGCAGCGATGTCCAATTGCAAATACTGTCAGGGAATACATAAATGTTGGAGGAAGGGGTCTGAATCTGGTTTTCAGTTGGAAGTAGACTTGGTCCCCATCGTATGTGTGCATGGCCATTCAATCACTTGCACCGTATGTTTGCAGTAAGCTGTTTATGCGTAGTTATTTATATTGATAGACTTCCACACCCCACCCCAACCTCAAGTACTAAACATGCACTCTTAATTATTATGTAAACTGCTGAGTAATGCAAGCAGATTTCTCTATCTACCTGTTAAAAGGCTTCTTGCACCTTTCTCTGATGTATCTGGTTCTGGTCATATGGAGGCAGAATGCTGGCTAGAAAGTCCTGGCAAGACTTTTGTGCTCTGGGAGGTTTATGTGCACAGACATTTCCATGCTGATTTGCTTCCACTTAGTTGTCTTCTGGCACAGAAGTTCACATCTGAATTAGCTTGCACGGTCCTCTGTAATTATTCAGGTCCCTGCATGTCATCATCTGAACATGAGAAATAGTAGTTGTAGGCCTAAATCAAACTTTCTACTCAGGTGGTTTGTACTAGATGTTCTTTGGGATGGGGATTACCAAATGTTTTTGTGGGTTTGCTGGAGGTCTTACATGTTTGAGTGTGCTCCCTCTGAGGGGTGGGAAAGGCTGTCCTGTTGTGCCTACTAACTTTTCAGACTAGAATCATAGAATGATTTGGGTTGGAAAGGACCTGAAAGATCATCTAGTTCCAAGCCCCTTCTATGGGCAGAGACACCTTCCACTAGACTTCCACCTCCCTGGGCAAACTGTTCTGATCTCTCACTACCCTTACAGTCAAGAATTTCTTCCTAATAACTAATATAAATCTAACTCTCTTTTGGTTTGAAATTATTCCCCCTCATTGTATTGCTACATACCTTTGTGTAAAGTCCCTTTCTAATTTTCTTGGAGCCCCTTAGGACTCCAGTGTTTGTATATTCCCTTTTCCTCTCACTGCTCTGTTAATTGTCTTTGAAAACAGAAACTTGAGTGTGGTGTTCTTTCTATTGCATGACTCACTCCAAGCCCAGTGTAGAATCCAGGTCTATGTCTAGCAGGTGTATTTTTTTGCCTCCCTCTGTCAGCTCAGATTCCTGCTCTGAGTTCTGTTTACAGGCTAATAGAGTAGCTGGAGAGAACTTCCTTACTGCAGATTACCTATAGGTCAGCATGACTGGGAGCTGTCACCAGTCATATAATCTTGAAATTTGTGAATCACAGTATGGGAACAGCTGCTTTAGAGGAAGGTGCAACATCACAAAATAGTTATCTCAAAAGTCCACAAGAAAAACTTTTGTATATCAGTGGCTATGGCTTATTCTCTGTAGTTTAAGGGCTTATCTCACCAACCCACTCTTGTTTAATCCTTCATAATACTGAGTGGGCAGTGATCAGACTCCAGCTGACTTGTGCTGATGTGCTTGTCATGTGTTTCTGCTTACTTGCACCATACATACATCCACTTTCATTCTCATCTGTGAACATTTTTGCACTAGGATACTCTCGCATGTATCTATACACTTATGCTTGCATGGATTTCTAAACAGCATTGCTTTGTCATCCATAGGCTTTCACGTGCTTTGGTTCACAAAGGTATCTATCCATATGCATATTCTCATGCTTTTCTAGGTATTGTGTGCTGCTTAACAATCTACTTTTTCCTTCTTTTTTCTTGTCCCCTCCTTGCAGCACTGATGGCCAGCGTGGAGGACCTGATTATCAAGACTGTAGTTTCTGCTGAGCTGGCCATTGCCACAGCTTGTAAAACTTTCCTTTCACATCGTGGCAGCTGCTTTGGTAAGGCACTGGGGACAGCTTTGTTGATGGGCTGTTGAGTACTGTTTGAAACTACCCGCTTTCTGATGCTACAGAGAAGCATGTGTTCCCTACTGCAAGAAGCCAGACACTGTTGTGTTTCTCAGTGTAGGCCTCTGTGAGAGCAGGGGTGGTTGAATCACAGTTGCCCTAGTGCCTGTGTCATTCATCAGAACCTCATGCTTCAAAATGGGACAATGAAAAGGGACTTGAAAGGGAACTGGGGAAGTGCTGGAAACCTGAAGTTCCTGACCTACTAGTGCCCTTGCAAAGGATATCTGTGGGTGATTAAACATTCCTTTAGATCTAGTAATATTTTCTATTGAGCCATCTAGTCCGATGTAGTTGTGAATTATTGTCCTATATGCATCTGAGGACTAGGAAGGAATGTGGAACGTAGTGCCTGGAATGACGGCGGCGGTATAATGCTCTGGGCTTGTGCTTGTGTGAGAGTAACGCATGGTGGCGTCAAAGGCTACTTCTGGCAGAATCTGCGTGCAGAAGTGTGTGCTGGCAAAGGGATTCGAGAACTCGCTGGCAGCAGATCCTGGGACTAGGTTCAGAAAGCAGCGGCTGGTACCACAGTGTGCCTTCTCCCACTTTCCAGTGGCTGCTTCCCAACCTTCCCTAAAGAGGCCTCCTCCTGCTCTTAGCCACCCTTTGCTCATACGGATACATGCACGAAGTGGAGTCCTTGGGACAGGGGAAAGGAGTCTAGAATTATTCTCAGTGAGTGCTTAAGCCAGAGACCAAGCTTGGCTTAAGCTGCCTGTGTTTAAGTATTGGGACTTAATTTAACCATCTGTGACAGATAAATCCATTTTTGTGGTCCTTTCATTGCACCTGAGCAGTGACAGTTCTGCAGCTTTCAACTCTTTGAGATAACTGTTGTGATCTTTGAATATTTGGGAGTGATGAGACAGTCAAGAATCAAGGAGGAGCTATGGCTGATAACGTTGTTTGGTTACCTGCCAAACTAGCTGGCTCTCTGGCCATAACTACTTCTGGCTGATTCTGATGCCTTTGTTAAAAGTTGGAGAACCTGGACATACAGGGGATTTTATCAGTTAGATAATAGTTTTACTGAAGTAACAGTTTATCAACTACTCCAGAAATATTAACAACCGGATTAAATAAACCCCACACCAATAACTTTAACTGTTTTTTTTCTCTGCTTCTCCCTTTTTCTCTTTAAGTTGTGTCTCTGGATTCCTCTGAGCTGTGTATGTGGAAACTAATGTTCTTCATGTACTTTCTGCTGGGCCTGGCTCTGAGGTTATCCCACTTCCTGCTGCCTCCCCAGGGCTGCACTAACCAGCCTCTCAGATGCTCCCCCACAAATAAACTGTTTTGTTCCATTTATTTCAGTGTAAACATAAATTAAGAGCTTCCCAGGAAAGAGAGCTTAAGTAGGAGCCATACTGCTTCCCAAGGGAGCCTGAGGCATTTCCAGAGCTCAGTACTTTCTGCCACCTTCCCCCACAGTTAAGTGGTGCGTCCTTGTCCCAAGGATTTGAACTACCCTTGTCACGCTGTGTGGCTCATTCTTCAACCGTGTGTCTTGTCATGACATGCTTTGGTTGTGCCACTTTTAACCCTGCCAGAAAGAAGGCAGTTTTTCTAGCTGGAAATGTTCAGAATGGCTGAGCTGATGGGTGCTAACATGGGGGAGAAAACTGGGAGTGAAGATTTCAAGGCAGCATCCAGAGGTTCCCCAGAGCTTGGTGTTTTTTTTCATTCTGGGCTATGAACAATGAAACTGCATGCATGTCTTGAGATACTTCCAAATGATCAGTCTGAGACTCCAGAAACCTGTATCTGAGAGTCAGATACAGAGGTTGGCCATTTTTGGAAAGCTTCTAGAAAAATACGAATAATTTAATACGTATTCTACTTTACTCTTTGAAATGCTCTTCTAGAGAGCAGGACTTCAGCAAAGTTGCTACCTTCTTGCTAAAAATTAAATCACAAGTACTTCTTTGTCTAGATTAGGTTGCCCACTTAACAATTTACCACTGCTGTGGTCCTTCATTCCTCTCCCAAGTAACTGCCTTTTAAATGTAATATACTTGTTTTCTAGATTTAAGAGGAGAGACTCCATTCATGGCTTCTTTGTATTCTAAAATAAGACTGGTGAGACAATCTGTATGGTTCTAGCTATCCATGCTTTCCTAGAAAGTGAGAGTGGTAGGTCAGCATGATTCTTCTTCTAATGTCAAAGCAGAGTGTTGCTGACAACTCGTGGAAGGATTGTAGGAAGTCCTCTTTTGGCCATGTCCTGTGAGCTGCTTTACTGCATTCTAGTAATAATTAATTCTCACAGGGCTTGGGAATCTCAGTAGCTTTGTTTCTCTGAAGTTATCACAGAAAGTAGTGTGAGTACTACATGATTTTGTTACAGCCGTGCCTTGTTCATGCATTGTTATTAACCATGTGATCTCAAGCCTGTATTTTGTTCTTTACGATTAGCTAATAATTCCTCATGTAAAATTAGTCTGCAAGTAAAAATTGTCTTAAGCAGTAGCTCCAGAGAAGGGCATGCTGCAGAGTGCAGAGCCACTGCATTGTCCTGAAGCTGGTCACCGGTTGGATTGGTGGTTGCCTCTGGAGCCTTCTTGAAGAGAAGCTGGATTTGCACTGACTTTGGGAGACATGAACTCTCAGTGAAAGCAGGATGTACAACAGGCATACATATGCCCAAGTCGATTAAAGACTGCATTGTCGTCCCTTCTGGACTAAGCACTTGTGGATAGGATAGAAAAGGCAGCAAGACCTGCTTTCAGTCAGTCTGAAAAATCTCTCTGTAGGATGGTTTAGTAGGGGATGAAATTAAGGGAATATGGTGCAGCACACATTTTTGCCAGTACCCAGTGTAGCATCATTTTCTGTACTCATTGAAACATAAGCCTGGAGAAGCAATAGATTGAAGTTCCCTGTTTCATTCCCAGGTCTAGTGAGCAGTTAAGAAGGCAGGGCAGGATAGAATAATAGGTTATGTTTGTTGATCCCACCAAAGCCCTGAGTTTGTTTCTTAGTTGCCCTTGTGTCCTAAGGCTGAATTGGTTGGGCTTATCCTAATCCCATCTACATTAAGGTAGTGTACACAAACAAAAACTACTGTATGGCTAGAGTGGTACTGACCTGGAGCTAAATGCTTTAACAAGTCTTAATTTATATCTAATCACCAATTCTTAACCATCTATGTTGTTGTTCTTCATGAGCATTTAATTTTTCTTACTAGTAGTAGTTCACCTGTTTGGGGGATTGGTAGCCTTTTGTAGTATTGAACAATGCTGGACTGCTCTGTAATGAATTTTGTAGGATGCTAAAAATTGAGATTCTTAAGGAATATAAATGCAGACTTGCTTGACATGAGTATCAGTGAGTTCCTGCTTAAAGACATAGGTCAGCCATGCACATATCATATATCTTTTTCTGGTTTCATAGATGACACACCAAGGAAAAGCAGAACAGGTATTCCTACAGTTACTACTTTTGGGAAAGCTTAATTAATTCAATTTTTATACCTATACTGTCAGGTGTTTTGCTTTTTTTTAAAGCTAATATGTAAAGATGCCATTTTGAATCTGAATAATGATGTCGTGGTAGTCCTCTGGCTACCAGCACGTTCAGGAGCCCTGTGCTTTTCAGGACAGGTTTTCTGATGATCCAGTGTGTCAAGGTAGGTTTTGTAATGTATTTTCAAAATTTAACAAAGCTAGTAGCTGAGCCTGAAGCATAAATCAAGGTCAAGGTATTGGACTTACATTGATAGCTCCTGTAGGAGTATTGGTCTATCCCTGCACTGTTTTCCTTACTTGTCACTTCATAGCTTTAAATGATAGCTAACTGATTGTGATTTAGCTCTCAGAGCTCAGTTGAGTCAGGATCCCTATTGCTTCAGAAGCTTTCTGGTTTCTTCACCAACAGGAAGCTGTTCTCTGGTAGCACCAGTTTTCCTTCTCAGGGTGCTCTTCCAAAAACAGTCATATAGAAATTGCCAGAATTATCAATTTATTATCAGTAGACACACGTGTCTAAATCATTCCATCTTCTTCTGCCTTGTAGTGCATGAAGGTTTCAGCCTTGCAGCATTGGCTCTTGTAGTGACATTAAGGTCTTTAGCAGATAGATTAGAACATGGAAGTGAAGAATACCATGTTCTTGTCTCCTAGTTTGCTTGGGGCAAAGGTTGTTGGAGTTTAGGAGCTTGAAATCAGAAGAACTTGGGCTAATGAAGTGAGGAGATATGCTCTCTTTTCCCTTCACTGCACGTGCCCATTTATCTATGGAATCATCTGGCTTTTATTTTGATCTGCCTGCTACTACGTTTTCTTAAATTGGCCACCTAAGTTTGTTGAAGAACACATAGCATTATTCTTCTGTTCCTCGGTGACCTAAGAGAAGTTAAGTGATGTCCAAAAGTGGTTATTAGGATGTTAACCTCCTTGCTCATTGATCTCACACGCTGTGTTGGAAAACTTTCTCCTTCATGGGTGATAATTTATTTGCCTGTAAGATTAGGATTATAATGGCAGCCAGTTTGTACCAAGACCCCTGTTCTTTGATGTTAGCCTTGAAGATGGCCTTATTACCTTTTTTGTCTTCAGAGTAGAAGGATGATTCTGTGTCTGATTTTGGTATAGGTGATGAGCCTAACTGTAGCCTTCTCTTCACCAAAGAAAGTAGTGGCTTATGTAGAAAGAGGGCAACCAATATGGTCTTGAGGGCAAGACTTAGGAAGAGCAGCTGAGGTCACTTAACATTTTCAGCTTGGAGAAGAGAACGCTGAAGGGTGACCTCATTGTAGTCTACAACTTCCTCAAAGGGGGAAGCAAAGGTGCTGATCTCCTCTCCCTGGTGACTCGCAGTAAGAGAGGGAGAAAAGGCAAAGAAGCCATGTCAGGGGATGTTCAGATTAGACATCAGGAAAAGGTTCTTCACAGAGAGGTTGTTTGGTCACTAGAACAAGTTCCTAAAGGAAGTGGTCAGAGCACCAACCCTGTCAGAGTTCAAGGAGCATCTAAACAATCACTTAGTCATGTGGTTTAATTTTAAGTAGTCCTGCAAGGAGTAGGGAATTGGACTCAGTTATCCTTCTGGACCCCTTCCAACTCAGGATGTTTTATGATTCTATGTAGGCACCCTGAAATTAATACACTTATGAAGACTTTCTTTGGCAATGTGACTAAGTGTTCTTTAGGCTTCAGTAGAAGGAAAAGTGTTGAAGAAGTCATCTTATCAGTGAAAGACTTTCTCTAGTTAGCTATTGTGGAGAAAGCTGCCTCTAAATGAGGTAATTACACATTTGGCTAAGCTAGCATAACAAACTCTGGCAAGTGCACACTGCATCTCAAAAGTATACATGAACACTGACATATGGAATAATTCTGTCCCCACTTGTTGGGTCCTTCCCTGTAATAACTCTGAGAGATAAAGTCTTTCTCTGTTAAATTTATCTAAAAAAGGGAGTTACACTGTATTATTTGGAGTGCAAATTGCCATGCAAAACTACAGCACCAGTACTTTCCCCAAAGCCTTTGGTGTCCAGAGTAGAGGCTTCTATTCTATTACTTCATATGATGCAGTGTGGCCCTTTGCTTATCAAAGCCTAAGCTGTTATGCTGACCTTTTGTAGATTTGGACTTGACTGTGGCAGCCCCCAAGATGTAGATTTGTTTATGTCCCATAGCTGTTAAAATGTGATCTACTGGAGTTGAAGCATGTACTGTACCATCACTAGATAAAGAGATGGAGTTCACTCATGGACAAAATGGAGTTCATTTACAAAATACTGTATAGTCTCTGAAGCCTCAAGTTTGGCAGTATGTCCAACAAAGCAGCACGTTCAACAAAGCAGCATGTCCATTGCTATACTCTCAGAAGATTTTTCTCTCTTGCACTGACTGTTGCTTTGGATGCAAGTGTAGCACAGTTAACTTTTCTAACCAAGCTTCTTGGTGCATGTTGTCTATAAGCATGGTTTGCAGGATAGTTTTATATATATATATAAAGTACAGAAAAAAACAGGAAGGAAAAAGAGACTTGAATTTCAGTGGCACAGGTGTAGTTTCTTGCATTAGAAATGTCTGAGTATACTCCTGGTTAACATGAGATGATCAGTTTTTATTGCAAAACCTGAGTGTTGCATACAGCAACTGTGCAGCGTTTTTTCAGTCTGTGTGTCCTTTAATAACCTCAGGTTGTCTTCATTCAATTGCAGAAGATGTACTTTGCAATAAAACTTCTCTTTCCCCAGTGAACAAGCTGAAAACAAAGACCCAAATTACAGCAACCCTCTAGGAATTGAGCTTATTCATTCTGTGCAAAATCAAAAATGTTTTTTGCACTACCAGGCTATCTCTTGTGAGTTAGTTTCTAGGCTTACCAAGAATAGCAAATTCTTTGGGGATATTTTCTAAAAGAGAGTGCCAATGCAGTCTTTGACAGGATATAAGACATATAAGGAATATGTGGTCGCTGACCAGAACCAAAAAGCTTGAGACCATGTCTCTAGTCTTCCTGTTAGTCTTAAATAATGACATTGGCAAAAAAAATCTCCACCTGAACTGTTGCTGTCAGACTTTAGTCTGAAGCTAGCCCTCCTCTTGGGAGGATGGGAAGCTCAAGCTTGTTCAACAGGGACTTCTTTACAGGGGTTGGGGGGGAGAAGCAGGCTGTTCCTTCTGAGTCTTGGCAACAGCTGCTACCTCCTGATACAATTCCAGTCTCATTAGCAAACTGCAGGGCTGGAACATGTTTTCATGGATTGTAGTACTAAGAGGAGGGGAGCAAGGGAAGGCACACTGGAAGTATGAAATCTTAGTTTTTTCTGTTCTTCTCTTAATAACAATAGTGGTGCAAGATAGGTTGTCATAAACCTACCATGGTCACATCCTGAGGCATGTGTCTGTCTTTCAGTCATTCTGTTTTCCTTACTCTATCTACAGAGGGAAACAGCAGTCTTGCTGAAGTTGGTAATTGCAGAGAATTAACTTCTGGTCTTGCTGTGATCATGTGACTACATCTTTGTGCTATGTATTTTTTAAATAAATGATAGTGGAGTTTCACAGTAGAAAGGATACTTCTGTATGTTAACCAGGCAGTGCATTTTCCAAATGTGGAAGAGGGCCAAAGAGATATTTCCAGGATAGCTGGAACAATAGATAATTGATCTTCTGTTTGTGCCTGAGTATGCCAGGCAGACTTGAGAACCCCTTTGTCCAAAGGCCTATGTGGGAACCTATGAGGTTTGATTCTGTTGCCAGAATGTTGATACTACATTGTTGATACTGTCTCTGAGGCAGCAGAGACATCTGTCTAGGGGTTATAGCTGTGACCTAGAACAAATGAGATTTGGAGCATTATGGAGCAGCAGTAGAGTTTTCCTAGGAGACCCTAAGGCATTGCAGATGGCATTAGGTGTCTGTGTCCAACAGTGAAACTGAGTTAAGGCAGAAAGAAGGAAAAGGAGTGTAAAGCAGCAGCAGCAGCATGGTCAAGGCTAGCTAAGGTCATGAGGTTACGCATATTTATTTGTAAAAGTGGACAGAGTAAGTGAGTAACTGGGTGGGAAAGAGGTAGGTTTACAGAGCAAGTGGTCTGGAAGAGGGAAGAGTGTGGGAGAGAAGGACAAAGCCAGAAGAGCCAAAATACTAGAAAAGGTCCTTTGTGGGGTTGAGGAAGGGGATAGCCAGCAGCAAAAGAAGTAGCAGCTAGTTAGAACGAAATGTTGTTTCCTGACTGAGGTTGGGAGGTTGCAGACTAGCAGCTGCCACAGGCCCGCTCATTGCATCCCTGCCTCTGGCATCAGCTGCCTGTCCACTGGAGTTTGCTGTGCCATTAAGAGTCACAGGTCTTCACCAAACCTCAGATTGTATTTTGAAGTAATGTATTAAAATAATCAGAAGTTTCTCCTGGTCAAAATGCTTTTCTAATGTTTACACTTAAAATCCCCACCTCCTCCTTTTCCCTCTACTGGAGCCTTTTCTGTCTGGGGAGCAAGAGAGCAAAACATAGATTCAGCGTCATTTCTTTGGAGTGAACCACCTCCTTAACTCTTTGATGTTTTGCTTCCTACTTAATGTCTGGCTACACAGTCTAGAAAAGTAACCAGGCAATACTCACTCTGCTGCCATTTCCTCCCCTTCCAAGTCCCCCCCTACAGCTCATTAACTTCCCATTATAAACTACATGAGCTCTCACACAGCTGTCTGCATAGGATGATCTTGTCAAGCAGTCCAGCTCCCTGGAGCCAGCATCCACGTCAGGCAGGCAACAAAAGGCCAAGGCCAGAATTCAAGGAAAGCAGCATGGCAAAGAAATTCTCCTGCCTTCACTCCAGGCACTAGGCAACTGGTTAATTCCATGGAAATACTTCTTCTCTGCCAATACCCTGTTCTGTCGTGTTTTGAAAAAAAAAAAGTGCATAAGTTGCCCTGATGATCATTAACTGTATTTCTTAATGTTGGGGAGTGAACTGCATTAACACCAGCTTCTGATTTAAAGTTGTCTTTGTGTGGCATCCTTCTTGCAGCTCTTTCCAAACTAGAGAGAATGTGTGTAGACTGAAATAGTAAAATCAGTCTTGGAACGGGAATCTGGCTTCAATATGACCTGTGTAGAGCAGAACACATCTAGCAGATTTAATATCTTATGAATGTTTTAGAAACTAAGGAAAATATATTTATATGGTGGTTTGCTGCAATGTGGCAAGCTGTAATTAAGATAAAGAGTTATGGGAGGGTGTATATGTAGGTGCAGCTGCTGATGGGAAGACTCTTATATTCCTGTGGGAATATTGCAGACAAACATATAGAAATAATAGAAAACAAGCTGATGCTCGAAAGAAGCAAGGCTTTCCGTAGCTGACTGGAACAATGAATATAGGGATTAAAAAGTGAAAAGGAGAATTAAGTTATGTTGTTTCCAGGATCCAGTGAAATAAGTAGATGGGACCTGTGTGCTCATGTCAAATCTATGTCAAATCAAGTAGTAGAGTTCTGCATGAACTGCACTTTGTGGACAGAAAAGAGTTTTTTCTTCTATATAATACTTTCATTTACTGTTCCCTCTTTTTCCCCCTAGACAGAATATATATAATCTTGATTCCAAGGAAGTTAAATTTCCCACTTGTGAATGTTATTGTTTGTACAGCCCTAGACTGTTCCCTAAATATAACATAAATTATGTAGGTAGAAATGACCTGATAGAGACTAATGTTGGACTTTATCTGAATAATTAAAGGTACAGTAAGGAAAACTTAGTGTCTGCTGTCTTTTCAGAGCTGTATGGATTTGATGTCCTTATTGATGACACTCTCAAGCCCTGGCTGTTGGAAGTGAACCTGTCCCCATCATTGGCCTGGTAAGTGATTCCCTGTTTAGTTTGAGGCTGGGACTGTGGCTAGAGATGGTTGTCCTTGAAACTTGTGGTCCTAGGAAGGCATGGTTTCATGATGCCTGCAGAGTATTTGTACTAAGTGACAGAGAGGACTGTCCTTTGCTTTTCCCATTGCATAAACAAACTTATTGCGGCAATAAGTTTTGAAAGAACATGATTAGGATTCCATTTTTTGTTTTTCATTATTTCTTTTCCACATGTCCATCATCATTGTTAATGCTTCATCATCTCCCATCATAGACAAATTTTGAGACTTTACAGACTATTATGTGCAGTTTCAGTCTGCTTGGCTGAATAGAAACTTTAAGAGTTTGGAGTCCAAGTGGAATTCAGGCATTATGCTTGATTTGAGTATATAGTTGTATACTTGGGCTCAAATTTTTAGTCTAGTACTCTTTAAGATCAAAAGAGTGAGTGTTGTCTTGGCCCTTATGCAGACCCTCATACTCTAGTGAAACTTGAGGATTTACTTTTGTAGATCTCCAGTTATGTGTGTTTTCTGGACTACTGTTTAACTTCACAGGGGTGCAGATGCACAATACACTTTCGTGGTGCTGTGAATAATATTTCAGTTATGATGGTATAAATAAGCATTAAGTTATATCTTCCTGAAATAGCCATATCTGACCTTCCTTGTGATTTTTGGTGTTACTTTCTTTTTTCTCTTCCTTATCCTGCATAGAAATTTTTTCACACACTGTTCGTAACCCGAGCTTCCACGGTACCCATTTTGTTTTCAGGTACAACTAGAATGTTAACATAACATTTAATTTCCTGGTTTGGTGGTTTGTCCTTATATACATACAGACTGAATTATTTGTATCCCTTACTACTTAAAACTCTAAATCACATCTGCATTCTTTGCTCTGCTTTGTTATGATTGCCATTTTTATTTGTCCAAACTTTTGGCATCTATCACCATGCTGTAGAACACAGCTGATTCCCTTGCTCCCAGGGAACCAAACTGTGTGTTTGATCTGAACTTCATTAAGTGATTCCCCACACAACCCCCCCCTCCCCTCCACTGGATAAAATTATGGATGCTTCCCATCTGTCCCCACCGTCTGACCTCTTCGCATCTATCACCTTCCTTAATAATTTGCTCCTATCCATTAGAGCTAATTCATATGATGTTATGATTTAATATGGAAGGGGCATAGGTAATTGTGGTTTTGAAGAATTCTACAACAGCAACCTTTGTCTACTCAATGAAATGTAGCATAGATACATTCAAAGAAAATGTTTCTAGTCAAATAGAGCTAAGACAAGGCAGTACATTGCTGCATTAGAAGACTAAAGCTGTGAAAAAGGATAAACAGACACAGGTTAATGATAATCTGTTGCTGTTTCATCTTTACCTATGAATGTGAAAATCACCTAAGTTTCCTCCCATGTTGATTATGTCTATGTAAAAGACTACTACAAAGAAACTACATTGGAAGATACCTTGGATATTGATGCATTCCTCTCATTTAATGTCAGACAAATAATTCCTCTTTTCCTCTGTTGCATGTGGGGATAGTGATGCTCCTTTGGACCTGAAGATCAAAGCTAGCATGCTCTCAGATATGTTCACTCTTGTAGGTGAGTGTAACAAAAAGCTCCTTTGATCTTTCTCTCACTTAAACCTATAAAAGGTAGGTTTATGAGCTGGATGTTATTAGAAAAGTATAATAGAGGAGAACTGTAGTTAAGGAGAGTGACTGTATTTAGCAGTGTGTAGTTACATGTGGACATTTCAGCTTTGGAATAATTAGATTGTTTGTAATGGTTAGGTAGTATTGACAGTCCATAGTTTGGTATATGAAGACACTCTTCTGTAGCAGGTGACTTTTCTTTAGCCCTCAATGAATATTAATTAATTTTTTAGGTTGAAAAAAATCCACCCTGTGGGTTTTGGTTAGGCTGTGTTAAAAGTGGCACTCTGATTGTGAAAGTCTGTCTCATGCACAACACCTTTTAGGTACTCCTAGTACATCTTGGTTTGGTTACTTGATGCAATTTACCCCTAATACTAAAAGAGGCACAATTGTCATCAGGTAGCCTGCTCATCTTATTTAAGAAACAGAGCCTATCTCTATGCTACTACTACTCAGTAACTCATCTTACTGATTTAAGTACTTGGTTTTGAGTGAAGTTCCAGTTTTATTAAAAAAATGTAATGCAATATTCAGTTTGGGATTAAACAAAGCAAGGTAGAAAGAAGAATAGCATCTTTTTTGGCCCTTAGCTAGGGATAGGAAGGTCATGTATAGACTGAGATCATTAGCAAGAATGCTAGATTTATATTTCAGGGTTTGTCTCTCTAAGTTCTTATGTGGCTCCTGATACCCATAGGCTTTGTGTGCCAGGATCCAGGTCAGCAGTCAAGCCGAGCCACTTCTTGTTCATCTGATTCTGTCAGGAGAAGTCCATACCAGAAGCTGCAGGTAAGTGACTTCAACAAGCCAGAGCTGAGGAGGACAGTAGGAAAGTTATTCTCATTGAATTTGGTTCACAGATGAGATTGCCAGTCCTTGAGGTTATCTGGATTTCTAGCATCATTACAGAAGAGGCTCAGAGGATACACCTGAGCTATGGGCTGTTAAGCCACTTTTGTTGGGGGCAACAAGCTTCTAGAACCTTAAAACTTTATGAAAAGTCTCCAAGACCTCCTTCTAGGCAGAAAGAGCTTTTTGCGTTTGAAATTTAAGGCTTCATTCCCATTCATTCCTGGAATCTCTTACTTCTTTTCTTGGGGATCCTTGGACTGAGGTCTCATGTGGCTTGCTGTGATTGTCTTATTACCTTTTGTTCTGAGATAGTGCTTTTGTAGCACTGTAATGCTGAAGGGCAGTTGTTCTCTATCTCTTTTTGGCTATGAGATGGATTCCTTAAGTATTTGTGGAAGTAGAGCACTCACAAAAGACTGGGAGATCCCATATGACATTTGGACTTTGAAGAGCATTTCTCTGCAGGCAGATAGGCAAATGGTGTATCCTGACACACTCTGCAGCTGATGCATATAGTCCTGTGAGGGACATGCAACATGGCTGTTTAGCCCAAGTTCAATTAGGAAACGAAAAGTCATTTTTGTTCAGTGGTGAAGTACCAGTACGCTGTCCATTTTGGTATAGAAAAAACTCACAGAAATTGCAACCTTTTGCTTCTTGTAAAACTGAGTCGTGAGTCACTGGGAGAGAGGTGAATGGCTGGTAAGGTGAGATTTGAGTATCTGTAGAATGTATGGCTGAGTAATATATGGCCGATGTAATATATAGGATTTCATACAGATCTTTCTGACACTTCTTGTGGAAATTGAGCTGTTGGGAAGCATTGGTTTTAAAGGAGACTTTAAACTTATAGATTTATTTTGTTTATAAAAACACAAATTGGTGTAAGGCCAGGCCAGCTGAAATGTGCAAAGGTTCCTCTGACAGAGCAGTGGTTACAAGATGGGATTAATTTACCTTTGGGACAGGTGTCCTCCTTACTTATGTTTACCAAGAATAGGCTTCTAATCCAGTGATAGAGTTTTATAGCATGTTTTTCTGAAGTACCTAAATGGAAACCCCATGGGTAAATAGGAGTCTAGACCTTTCCATGGTTCAAGAATGTTTTGGCCTGCTTTTTACGGAATGCATTTCATCTTAGATTGTTAGAGCTTTGATACTTCTATTCCCATTCTCAGTTGCAAAGTATACTTTGAATCTCTTTATTTAACTCCTTCATGATATTTAAGTTTTGATTGCTCATTTAGATAATCTTTAATCATTGTAAATGAAATCATTTGCTTCTTGGGAAAGAAATGTCAATAACAACATTCTTGGTCATGAGATAATTATTCTATTTTCTGATTTTCCCCAGACTGGACTGCAAGTTCCTTGTGCAATTTCTTTGGTTTGATTCTCTGAGCATTTCTCCCTCTAGGGAAATGAACTATTTAGCTGCTTCCTTTGTAATTTATTGTTGGTTTGGGTTGGAGCTTTTTCAATTAATTGTAAGCAATAAAGGGACCTCAACCTGTTTTGTAAAGACCGGCTGCAGAGAAGACCTTGGCAGTAGTACTGCTAGAAATCATATAATGGTTTGGGTTAGAAGGGACCTTAAATATCATCTAGTCCCAAGCCTCCTGCATGGGCAGGGACACCTCCCACTAGATCAGGTTGCTCAAAGCCCCAACAAACTTGGCCTCGAGCACTTCCAGGGAGGGAGCATCCACAGCGCCTCTGGGCAACCTGTAGTGTTTCTCAATTCTCACACTAAATAATTTCTTCCTAATACCTAATCTAAATCTCCCCTCTTTCAGATTGAAACCATTACCTCTCTTCCTGTCATTACATGCCATTGTAAAAAGTCCCTCCCCAACTTTCCTGTAGGCCCATAGAGCCTTCTCTTCTTCTGGCTAAACAGCCCCAACTCTTCTCAGCCTGTCTTCAGGGGAGAGGAGATAGACAGGTCTCTTGAGAATCCTTTCTTACACCATTTGGTCCTCTTGGGCATCGGAGAGGAGGAAAACAGCCTGAATACCAGCGAAGGCAAGAAAAATCTAAGCTTCTATGATAATAGTTTTCTTTTGAAGCCACCCCTGTCATTAAACTGGTCTTGCTTGTAGGCCTGATGGCAGATAAGTAGTACAGGTACTTTTTGACATTCTGCTGATATTTCTACACCTGTTTTGGAATATTAAATATCATCTTGTTCACTAAAAGCACCGAAATGTTGTTGAGATAATAAAAATGAAATGGCTTCTGGAATGTCAGGATTTTTACTATGTTTTATGAACAATTCTACTTGACAGCAGCTGTTTCTCCTTAATACATAGCTATTAAATATTTTTCTCTGGGTAACTCTTTATCTTACAAAAATATGAATTTTGATTATGAGAGTTGAGTTTATTCATCCACTCTGCAGAGCTCTTTTCTGTGTGCTTTTGAAAACTATGTGTATGTTCAGATGCATCTGGACAGCTGAGCACAGGTTTTGGATTAATGCTGCATTTGGAATACATTTGTGGAGGATATGAGGAAGACCTGAACTGAGATGAATTAAGCTGGTAGCTGTTTCTCTGGACTTCAGTTACACCCTTTTGCTTTAGGGTGCTCACCACTGTGCAGCTCAGGCAGGGGTGAAAATGTCCTGGAGAACACAAGGTTTTTATTGTCGTTGTGTGTCTCTTCCAGCGTCCTGTTTCTGCACAGACTCAAACAGCAAACACCAAATTGGTAAGTATCTTTCAGCTCCCTTCACCAACATAAAGGGCACAAATTCAAGTGTTATGTTTTTCAATACTTTTGGTGCAATTTGTCCTAAAATATATCTTCCAGCTGAGTAGCCTGGTGGCCAGGGGGAAGTGAACAAGTACTGACATACACTTCCATGTGGCAAAGGCAAAAGTTGAAAAACATTTAACATCAGTTCTAGTGGCTTAAAAGAATAGATGAGGTGTGCTGACAGTCAAGGTCAACTGGGCCAAGACTACCTGCATTTCTGAACTGCATTTTAAAGAAATTGGATATAAATGCTTAAAGATAAAATTGTCATTCTGGTCATAAAATGATGAAGACAATGGCAATACAGGATTCTGGATTTGGTTGGTCATTGAAAAGGAAAGTGCAAAAGCAAAGGAAGCTGGTGAAAACAGCAGCAGATAGGAATGTCACACCAGCAGGGAGAAGCAGGAGGAATTTCTGTCTAGTGTACTACAGGAGATGGAATAAGTCTGAACAAAAAGGATAACACTGTTGAATCTATATTGACAAAATTTTGGTTGCCCCATAAGAAAAGTAATCATTTTCTGTGAGACAGTTGTCTGAAGGAAACTGCAAAAATTTGAGAGTTAACTAGGTTAAAATGGATAGATAAGGATTTCTTAAAGATAATGGGAAAATTTAAAACTATCGTTAGCATAAGTCAGACTGATCTGCCTTTTTAAATGTCATATTTGGCACCTTCCTTGCAAGCCATATGGACGAATCAATGTTAGTTTGCAGTTCTAAGCACCTGGCTGTGTGGGGACATGGTAGGCATTATTTTGCTGTTGAGCTTCCTGGATGAATGTAATGGCAAGGATTTTTATATTTTTTTGAGGTTTCCCAGCAGGCAGAGAAGTAGGGCAGATGGAATCATCTTGAGAACAATTAATTGTAAGCAATAAAGGGACCTCAACCTGTTTTGTAAAGACCGGCTGCAGAGAAGACCTTGGCAGTAGTACTGCTAGAAATCATATAATGGTTTGGGTTAGAAGGGACCTTAAATATCATCTAGTCCCAAGCCTCCTGCATGGGCAGGGACACCTCCCACTAGATCAGGTTGCTCAAAGCCCCAACAAACTTGGCCTCGAGCACTTCCAGGGAGGGAGCATCCACAGCGCCTCTGGGCAACCTGTAGTGTTTCTCAATTCTCACACTAAATAATTTCTTCCTAATACCTAATCTAAATCTCCCCTCTTTCAGATTGAAACCATTACCTCTCTTCCTGTCATTACATGCCATTGTAAAAAGTCCCTCCCCAACTTTCCTGTAGGCCCATAGAGCCTTCTCTTCTTCTGGCTAAACAGCCCCAACTCTTCTCAGCCTGTCTTCAAGGGAGAGGAGATAGACAGGTCTCTTGAGAATCCTTTCTTACACCATTTGGTCCTCTTGGGCATCGGAGAGGAGGAAAACAGCCTGAATACCAGCGAAGGCAAGAAAAATCTAAGCTTCTATGATAATAGTTTTCTTTTGAAGCCACCCCTGTCATTAAACTGGTCTTGCTTGTAGGCCTGATGGCAGATAAGTAGTACAGGTACTTTTTGACATTCTGCTGATATTTCTACACCTGTTTTGGAATATTAAATATCATCTTGTTCACTAAAAGCACCGAAATGTTGTTGAGATAATAAAAATGAAATGGCTTCTGGAATGTCAGGATTTTTACTATGTTTTATGAACAATTCTACTTGACAGCAGCTGTTTCTCCTTAATACATAGCTATTAAATATTTTTCTCTGGGTAACTCTTTATCTTACAAAAATATGAATTTTGATTATGAGAGTTGAGTTTATTCATCCACTCTGCAGAGCTCTTTTCTGTGTGCTTTTGAAAACTATGTGTATGTTCAGATGCATCTGGACAGCTGAGCACAGGTTTTGGATTAATGCTGCATTTGGAATACATTTGTGGAGGATATGAGGAAGACCTGAACTGAGATGAATTAAGCTGGTAGCTGTTTCTCTGGACTTCAGTTACACCCTTTTGCTTTAGGGTGCTCACCACTGTGCAGCTCAGGCAGGGGTGAAAATGTCCTGGAGAACACAAGGTTTTTATTGTCGTTGTGTGTCTCTTCCAGCGTCCTGTTTCTGCACAGACTCAAACAGCAAACACCAAATTGGTAAGTATCTTTCAGCTCCCTTCACCAACATAAAGGGCACAAATTCAAGTGTTATGTTTTTCAATACTTTTGGTGCAATTTGTCCTAAAATATATCTTCCAGCTGAGTAGCCTGGTGGCCAGGGGGAAGTGAACAAGTACTGACATACACTTCCATGTGGCAAAGGCAAAAGTTGAAAAACATTTAACATCAGTTCTAGTGGCTTAAAAGAATAGATGAGGTGTGCTGACAGTCAAGGTCAACTGGGCCAAGACTACCTGCATTTCTGAACTGCATTTTAAAGAAATTGGATATAAATGCTTAAAGATAAAATTGTCATTCTGGTCATAAAATGATGAAGACAATGGCAATACAGGATTCTGGATTTGGTTGGTCATTGAAAAGGAAAGTGCAAAAGCAAAGGAAGCTGGTGAAAACAGCAGCAGATAGGAATGTCACACCAGCAGGGAGAAGCAGGAGGAATTTCTGTCTAGTGTACTACAGGAGATGGAATAAGTCTGAACAAAAAGGATAACACTGTTGAATCTATATTGACAAAATTTTGGTTGCCCCATAAGAAAAGTAATCATTTTCTGTGAGACAGTTGTCTGAAGGAAACTGCAAAAATTTGAGAGTTAACTAGGTTAAAATGGATAGATAAGGATTTCTTAAAGATAATGGGAAAATTTAAAACTATCGTTAGCATAAGTCAGACTGATCTGCCTTTTTAAATGTCATATTTGGCACCTTCCTTGCAAGCCATATGGACGAATCAATGTTAGTTTGCAGTTCTAAGCACCTGGCTGTGTGGGGACATGGTAGGCATTATTTTGCTGTTGAGCTTCCTGGATGAATGTAATGGCAAGGATTTTTATATTTTTTTGAGGTTTCCCAGCAGGCAGAGAAGTAGGGCAGATGGAATCATCTTGAGAACCTAATTCATTCTATGTGCTGGCGTTTATGTCATTCTGTGTAAGTTTAGCTGAGGCTAAGAGAAAAGAGTTGAAAAATGAGGTTTCACAGAGAATAGGAAGGATCTTTGTGCCAACTGCTGTCAGTGCTTAGTATAATTAGAATCATGATGTGGGAACCAGAGATGCTTGCAAAATTTGGAGATAAAACAAAGTGGTTGGATTTATCTATATTTTTAAAGATAAGCTGGGTCAAAGAGGAAACAAGACCTTTGTGAAGTCGGAGATATTTCTGTGTGACAGCCAGAGACAATTCTGCAGTGAAACAACTGAAAACTGTGTTTGTGCAGGAAGTTCAGTAAAGCTAGAGTTTTTCTCCAGCATTTTGACAGTAGTGTGGTTTGTTCTAAAGCAGGAACTGGAGCCTTGCTCGTTTTAAGAGCCAGAGCTGCCAATACATAGGCATACGTTTTCTGTTTGTAATCAGTGAAATAATTTCTATTGTATCGAGACAATGGAGATTATTTCATTGAAGTTTTCCTTGTAAAGGAAATTGTATGATAGGATTAAATATTTCCTGTAATATCCTCTTTGACCAGCAGTTCTTGTATGATGATTGTTACGGTAGTGTCAGGAAATGTTTTTGAAGATGAGGTTTGACAACTGATATTCTTATTTCTTTTGTAACTTACAGAATCATGCTCATGTCTGTAACCTTCTCATCTAGATTGTCTTGTTTTTTCTTGTTTGATTTAATCAGTTTTTCAATGGGTGTAACAAAATATTTCATCTGGCACCTGGTACATCTGTTTTCTCTTTGGATCTTTCTGTGCCAATCACTGCAGTGTCACCTATTCTACTGCAAAACCTGTTGCTTTTGCAGTTGCCTCATGTGCAGACTCTGGACAGCTGTTAGCAATTTTTAACAAAACAGAGAAGTCAATTCAAATAAAGATACAATCTGATCTTGCCATGAGTTTTATTTGTATCTGAGTAATATGGGATATTCCCCTGGGTTTATGCAGCTTAACATTTCTGCCATGTTTCTCCCTTCTTTCTAGACTAAGAAGGCTCTCTGTGCAGTCAGTATAGTGCTGAAAGAAAATTTGAATTTTGAAGGCATGAGACCTTCTTAGCTAGACTCTTTTAATGCTGTTTTTAGAAAGGAAGTTTATCTGAGCTGGGCCTAAGACGGGCTAAAATGTACTTGAGAACATGTTCAAAGATTTCAGTCTTGCTGAGATTTCAAGATTTTATAATCATGCTTATTTTGAAGACACTTTGAATTCCTGTCCTTTGTTAGAATGGATCAGGACTGCCCATCAAGTTAAGAATGAGCTTGAAGAGACTGCAAATTATTTCTTATTTTTAAAGTGTGCATATATATGCAGATTTGCACAATGCATCTATGTACGTGTACATGTCTGTTAACTACAAAAAGTAGCAGTTTGAGATCTAGCAGTATAGTTACAAAAGAATAACAGGTGGTGAATGGAATTTTTCACATTTTCCCTGAAACTTTATCTCATCAGCAGATTACAGTTCTGTTCTTATAGTGTAGCAACACAACTGGAATAGAGAATCATGGTTCTAGTACAACTGCAGTGTGAATTCAGGTGTTTTTAGTGCCTAGAGTGTGATTGCTGGCTCTAGTGCCCCTTGGGTGAGGATCTTCCTGTATGAAATGCTGGCTTTGGTGCTTTTGGATAGGTCATGTGTTTCCAGAACGGGCCGTGCCTGTAAATACTGGCACTGATGCCCAAAGTGTGAGTCCTGCTGTGCTAAAAACCAGGAGTTCAAATACTTACACTTAGTGCCTGCTGGGGTGTGGACTCTTCAACAGCTGGAGTGTTGAATTATGAATTCTGGCTGTAGTACTTTGCAGTGTATGTTCTTCCGGGAATGGGATCTTGGAAATTGAATATAACTGGATTTTAAAGGAAATTGAGATAGGAGAAGGGAAAAATCTGGATTCATGCTCTCTCTACAGCGTACCCGTCCTCTGTCTGCTAGTGATGCTGAAATTAAAAACCCAATGCCCTCAGGCAGGGAAAAAGCAACAGGAAGGCAAGGCAGCTCCATGCTAGGTCTCTCCATGGAGGAGGTAAGTAGGCTATTAAATACCTTTTACTTACCTTGGCTTTCCTGCAATATGTGGTGTTATTTACTCAGCAAAGAGTAAGCATGTGTATATGAAAAACATGACCAAAGAAGTGCAATTTTTGAAACAGAACTGCAGAGTTTTACTGCTGGTGCTGCCCTCACCCTCAGTCATGTGAGGCATATGTATGTGCTCCAAGCAGTGATAGACTACTTCAGAGTTTAAATGTAAGACTACATTGCATAAGGATATCATATGTACCCATCCTTCTCCCAGTGCTGCAGTAGTAGTCTTGTCCTCTGAAACTCAGATTTTTCCAGGCTTCATTTTTCATTGTATCTATTTTACTGGCTTTTTTTTTTTTCCCTTTTTCATTCCAAGATAAAAGTTCTTCGTCGAGTGAGAGAGGAGTATGAACGAAGAGGAGGCTTCATACGGATATTCCCTACCCCATTAACATGGGACCTTTATGGGTAGGATTAAGAATCCAATAAGATGGTTCACTCGTGCTCTGTATTGGGGGATGTTCTGTGTTAGGTATATGTAGATCAAGCAGCTTAGCAATTAGAAAGACATGTATTGAGGGCTTTAGTAGAGTTTATTTTAGTAGCTTTTTTCTGATCCCATGTTTGTTTTAACTGCTGCTGCTCTGCCTAACTGCACCTTGTGGAAGGCTCTCAGACACTGTTTCTAATGTTACCTTTCTGTCAGAATAAAAATATATTCACTTTAGATCATCCATTTATGCAATCTGGTTTTACATCCTAGATCTGCACAGTGTGTGCTCTGTCATTAGGCCATAAACATAATATAGGCCTCATCCTGTGAGTGATATATATTACACTTTTCTAATTTTTTTTCCAGTGTGCAGAGCTTCTCTGTATCTCTTGCCTCACCAGTAACTTCAACAGAGAAGTGATACATCTCCTTTCTTCCTTTATGTTATGGTACAGCATGTTGTCTTAGTCCACCTTTGGGTTGTCTTTAATAGATCATTTATTTCTGTATTATGTTGCCTTTCATTATGTTGAGCTCTATCTTGATACATCCTGCATTTTGTTTTTCTAGATCCTTTTTAGAACACAAGACATCAATGAACTACATGCTGGCTACACGTCTGTTTCAGGACAGGTAGCAAGCTTTTCTTTTTGAGAGGGAGGCAAAGGGCACAAAAATGTGTGATTTACAGGGATGGTAATAGCTGCATGTCTTTTCTCTAATGTGCCAGTGACTGTGAAGGTTTCTCACATTTTTACATGTTGTACTTTTCGATCCAAGGGTAGAAAGGACAATACATAAAAAGCATGGGAGTCATTGGAGTAAAAAGATGACTATAGACATGAAAAATCTTCAAGCACATAAGTTTCTCTATGAAGGGATTATAGATGGTCTTTGCTTACCTTTTGTTGTAAATATAAAGTCATATCAGAGCTGAAAAGTGCTAAAGCACGCACTGAAATTTACTCCAAAGTTTTAGTATCCTTACGACTTTTGCAAGCATGATTTAATCCATGATTTTCCTGGGTTGTGCTTGAGTGGAAATGACAATTCATGCCACAAGCTGAACATCCATTGAGAACTGTATGCAATAATTTCACAGTGTTGTAAATCCTTCCTTCTCAATGTTTCTCTTATCCAAATATGAGATGCTCAATAAAGCAACTACAGAGTAAGGATGAGGTTGCTTATTGAGGAGACAATACTTACAGAAGTTCTTCTGGTATCGACACTGTACAGTATTTTAGTTTCTTTTGCTGTGTACTTTCAGGGAGATGTCTAGAAGGTAGCTCCAAATGATACCTTCTCCAGTTTAAGCCAGACAAATGCGAGCATCAGTTGTGGAACAGCCTCTCAGATTTCCTCTTTTGGAGCCTTTTTTGTATTCTCCCTCAAGACAAAACTCACAAGGAATTCTGTAAATTTGGCCTTTTCATTGTCCACATGAAGTAATTCAGAGGCTTTTTAAATTCAGTCTGATCCAGAATGTGAGGTAATTTTTTCTGTTTGTTCTCTGTGTAGGGGCAAGATGAAAAGAGACTTCAGCGCTGGCAGATCCCGGTAAATGGCTTCTTAATTAAATAATTGGTACTTTGTAGGGTTTATTATAAATTGAGTTTTCCATAGCTTCATTTTCCAAGTCTTGTGTCAACACCTTTTGGACCTGAGATCCATCAAACTAATATTAGAAATGTAAATAATTTTCTAAAGTGAGCAAAGAATATCCCTGCATATGGAGAGTTTAAGTTTTGTTGGACTTGACATTGAAATTGCTCAGCTTAGGCTTCCTACT